GGAACAACACGAATGTTCATTCACAGTTGAATGGATAAATAGATTGAAGTATATTCACATGACAAGCAAGATACTGTGCAACAACTTGAATCTTAGGATTTTACTGATGTGCAGAAGTGATCTATATAGGGTTAGAAGCCACCTTTGGGTGGGAGCAGTTGTGTAGGAATTGGAAAGGGGCATGATGGGAACTTATTGTGGCTAATGTTCAGTTCTTGGCCTGAGTGGTGGTTATTCATGTGTGTTCATGTGATGATAATTTCTTGAGCTTTGTACTTACACTTCTGAAAGTATGTTATGCTTCAGTTTAGGTTATTTCAGTGAGATTAATATGGGTAGATTTTTTTTGTCCTTAAGTTTTCTAGAAATGTTAGGAAAATAGATTCAATTAAGAATACATTTGCGGGGCACCTGGGTGGATGGGTTGGTTAAGCATCTGACTCTTGGTTTCTGCTCAGGTCATGATCTCAGGGTCATGAGGTCGAGCCCTGTGTTGGGTTCCACGCTGGGTGTGGAGCCTGCTTGAGATTTTCTCTCTCCTCCTCTCCTTATACCACATGTGCACAAGTGTGTGCTTTCTCTCTCTCAAAAATAAATTCATTTGCTACTTTTTGGATAGTACTGTGTTTTGCTCTAACACATCTTTGAGTAACAATTGATAAAGAATGGATTTGATTTTTTCAGTCTGAATTTATGCATTCGTAATCCATTCATGCTTTGGTGCCAGTATAATTATTTTACTTTTCTATTTTTTTAAATAATTTGAGTATCATTGACACACAATGTTACATTAGTTTCAGGTGTGCAACATAGTGACTCAACACATTTATACATTATGCTATAATCACCACATATGTGGCTACCGTCTGTTTCCATACTTTACTATAGTGTTTCTCGTTTCTGTAACTTACCCGCTCTATAACGGAAGGCTTTATTTCCCAGTCATCTTCCATTTTGCCCAACCCCCCACACCCCTCCCCTCTTTGCAACCATCAGTTTGTTCTCTGTATTTATAGGTTTGATTCTGCTTTTTGTTTATTCATTTGTTATTGTTTTAAATTCCGCTTATGAGCAAAATCATAAAGTATTTGTCTTCCTCAGTCTGACTTATTTCACTTAGCATAATACTCTCTAGGTTCATGCATGTTATCTCAAATGGCATCATCTTATCCTTTTTTATAAGTGTGATATTCCTCTGTGTGTGTGTGTGTGTATACATATGTACACTTCTCCCCCATCTTCCATATTCATTTGTCTATTGATGGACACTTAGGTTGTTGCTTCCATATCCTGGCTATTGTAAATAATGCAGTGATAAACATAGGGTGCATATATCTTTTAAAATTAGTGTTTTTGTTTTGTTTGGGTAAGTACCTAGTAGTGGAATTATTGGATCATATGGTATTTCCATTTTTAATTTTTTGAGAATTGTTTTTCTACTCTTATTCATGCAGTGGGGAACTAATCCTCATCTGAATTAACAAATGGATGAATTTATTACATATAGTGTTGGTAATATATTTTTATATTCTGTAGTAAATATGATAGGGCATATTTCAGTTATTTTGCTGTATTTTGTTAGCTGCCATATATTTTAGCTGCTTTCAGTTAAAAATTTTCTCCATACACTTATGATCTTTTCTCTGTCTTAAATTATAACTTCTGTACCTTACATATTTCTTCCTTTGGGCATTTGAAAAACTAACAAGATGTTTTTTGTTTAGTCTAAATTTCCTCTTGGTTTTGGTGAATTTCTAGCTAAACTAAAATTCCTTGCACAGTTGGATATCCACATATAAAAGAATGAAGTTGAACCCTTACCTCATACCATATACAAAATTTGACTAAAAATAGATCATTCACCTAAATATGAGGGGTATAAAACTAAAACTCTTAGAAGAAAACATAGGGCTAAATCTTCATGGCCTTGGGTTTGGCGATGGATTCTTAGATATGACACCAAAAGCTCAGACAACAAAAGAAAGGAATGGTTAAATTGTAATTCATTAAAATTAAAAACTTTGGTGCAGCGAAGGACATAATGAAGAAAGTAAAAAGATACACCACAGAATGGGAGGAAATACTTGCAAATCCTATATCCAGTATCAGGAATATATAACAGGTTTGGTGTTCTGATATACAAAGAGTTATAACAACTCAGCAGCAAAAAGTCCAGAAGTGGGCAAAGGATTGAAATAGACTTTTTTTTTTTAAGGAGATTTTATTTATTTATTTGACAGAGACACAGCGAGAAAAGGAACACAAGCAGGGGGAGTGGGAGAGGGAGAAGCAGGCTTCCCGTGGAGCAGGGAGCCCCATGCGGGGCTCGATCCTGGGACTCCAGGATCATGACTTGAGCCGAAGGCAGACGCTTAACGCCTGAGCCACCTAGGCGCCCCAAATAGACGTTTTTCTAAAGGAGATGTGCAAATGACTAATGAGCACATGACAAGATGTGCAGTATCATTAATTATTAGGGAAATATAAACCAAAACCACAATGAGTTGCTTCACACTCTCTAGGATGGCTATAATAATAATAAAAATGAAAAATAATAATTGTTGACAAGGATGTGGAGAAAATAGACCTCTCATACACTACTGATGAGAATGTAAAATGTTTCAGCTGCTGTGAAAAACAGTTTGGTAATTCCTCAAAAGGTTAAACATAGAATTACTGTGTGATCCTAGATATATACACAAAAGAATGGAAAACAGATATTCAAACAAATATTTGTATGTAAATGTTTATAGCAGCATTGTTCATAATAGCCAAGAGGTTGAAAAAACCCATATGCCCATCAACAGATGAATGAGGTGTGCTATATACATATAGTGGATGTTATGTAATCACAAAAAGAATGAAATAATGATACATGCTACACTGAGAATGAGCCTCAACAACATTACGCTATTGTGAAATGAGCCAGACACAGAATATTATATGAGTCCATGTTTATGACATGCCCAGAATACCAAATCTGGAGAGACAGAAGGCAGGTTGGTGATTGCCAGGAGATGGGTATAGGAGGAAATGGGAGTAACTGAACAGTGGGAACCAGACTCTTCTTTTGGTGTGATAAAAGAGTTTTGGAACTTGATAGAGGTGGTGGTTGCAGAACATTGTGAATTTACTAAATGGCACTGAATTGTTCACTTTAAATTGTTAGGTAAATTTCACCTCAGTAAAGGTAGATAAAACCTAGTTCCCAAATACATTGCCATCATATATAATAAATCAACATACTATTGTTGATTTAGTCATGGCAATACCAGAAATGATGAACTTAGTTTTAGCACCTTTGATTTCCATGAATATTTAAGTGTGTTCTTTTATTTTAGAAAAAACTACAGCGTTGACTTGATTTCAAGCTTTTAGTTACATATCTGTTAAAAGAAGTATGTTCAGTTAATCAGTGAACTTCTATTTAGCCTTCAATATTTTTCCTGATATTTTATATAAAACAGGTTTCTTAACATTTTCTAGAGATTTGGTTGACTATTATAAATGATACAGATAGCTCTTTTGGCTTATAGTTAGAATTGGATGGTATTATGATGTAATTATATGATGCATTGTTTACTTTGAGGCCATATGAAAGTGGATTTTTGTACAACATGATGACCATGGGTTTAATAGACTTAAGTTATATTTTCAAATGATCCAAAGAAGCTATACATAAATGATAAAACTGAAACAATGGTAATTTGTATTTTCATTGTTATATTAAATTTATTTTGAACCAGGGGTTTACCCATGGCTTGCATGTTTGTTCAAGATTCATAGTCACCAGTTTCTGATTGATATGAAATCTCATGAAATTATTTGTGGTCCTGTGATAGACATTCTTTACAAAGACCAAATAAATTTTGAAAATTACTCAGTATTGCACTTAAGAGCTTCTTATTTTTGCATATGACACATTTTTGCTGACTGCTATATCATGGATATCTAGTATATGTGTACCTGTGTCAGTCAAAAAAAAAAATCTGTTTTGCCCATTCCCCTACCCATTTCCCCTCTGGCAACCACCAGTTTGTTCTCCGTGTTTAAGAGTCACATGTGTGTGTCAATTTTAATATTTGTTCTTAGTACCTTGAAAGATCAGGAACCAAGTGTGTCATTGTGTATAGTACCATGCCTTTTTGATGATAAAATTGTTTTTATTAACATGGCTTAAAATCGTTCCCAGTGTTGTTTATTTCCAGCATATTTCCTTATCTAGTTCATAGAATTATTTTTTTTAAAAAGATTTTATTTATTTATTTGACAGAGAGACACACAGTGAAAGAGGGAACACAAGCAGGGGGAGTGGGAGAGGGAGAAGCAGGCTTCCCGCAGAGCCGGGAACTTGATGTGGGGCTCAATCCCAGGACCCTGGGATCATGACCTGAGCCGAAGGCAGACGCTCAATGATTGAGCCACCCAGGCACCCCTAGTTCATAGAATTATTAATGGTGTTAATAAACTGGAAACAATGAAATTGTGTTAATATATTCCGAGTACAATTGTGAGGATTATAAATACAAGCCTGTAATTTTCTCATCTGTGACTAGTCAAGCTAGCCTGCTTTTGTTAACATTGGGTGTTTTCCTTTATCATTGTGATTATTTTTAAATAAGTATGTTAAATGTCACTAGTTTCCTATACTTCAGTCTCAGCAAATGGTCTGGATTTAAGCATAGATAATATTGTCCTCTGCTTAGAGTAAAATCATATGTGATTATATATAGTATACCGCCTCTAAAAACAAAGGATGCTGAGAAGACATTAAGAACTGGGCATTATTTGTTGCTCGGAAGCTTATTAATGGTCCTCCTTCCCACCAAAGTAAGCTTTTTTAGATATTTAAGCTTACTAAATTATAACTTCAAAACAGTGAACACATAGATAATGTCTCTCTGTTTCACACATTTTCAGCCTGATGTGAGTTGTAAGAAATAGAAAAACCTAAATAATTTTGATTGTTAATAACTTGTTAAATATTTTTAAATAACCAGATGAAAAATCAGTACTGGAACAGAAACCTTCTAAACCAGCCGCTCCACAAGTCCCACCTAAGAAGCCTACTCCACCCACCAAAGCCAATAATTTATTGAGATCTCCTGGAACAGTATACCCAAAGCGACCTGAAAAACCAGTCCCTCCACCACCTCCTATAGCCAGGTAAGTTTTACCTAATTTTAATTTAGGTAATTTTAATTGAGTTAACTTACCTAATTTAGTTTATTGGTTACCTGCCTTTGACATAAATGCTTTTCTTTTTTTTCTTTTTAAAAAGATTTTATTTATTTATTTGACAGAGACACAGCGAGAGAGGGAACACAAGCAGGGGGAATGGGAGAGGGAGAAGCAGGCTTCCCACTGAGCAAGGAGCCCGATGTGGGGCTCCATCCCAGGACCCTGGGATCATGACCTGAGCCGAAGGCAGACGCTTAACAACTGAGCCACCCAGGCGCCCCTGTATTGCTTTTCTAAATGTCAAAATAATTTTTAAAGTATTTGTTTTCCAGATTTTTTCTATAGACTATAATGATTCTCTGTTAAATGATTTATATTCATACTAGGTAAATACATACCTACTAGGCTGTTTTTACATTTCTGATTTTATTGTGTTTAGTGTTATTGTGGAGGTGTATGTTTATGGAAATAATTTTGTGGACAGAAAGAAAAATTATTGTGCTATAACATCTTTAGTGTCATTAATTCAGTGTTAAAAAATGGTTATGATTCACATACAAGTGATTTGTACATATGTTTGATTTTCTCATTTCAGGATTAATGGGGAAGTTTCTACCAATTCATCAAAATTTGAAACTGAGCCAGTGTCAAAACCAAAGCTAGATTCTGAACAGTTACCACTTAGACCAAAATCAGTAGACCTAGATTCATTTACATTTAGGAGCTCTAAAGAAACAGGTAAGTTAACATGTAGAAGGGTGGTACATTTAAAAAAAAAATTGCCAATACAGTTTTCAGAAACTAAGAAACTTGTGTATGCATTTTATGTGTGGATAGAGTAGAAATTAATTAAAATTTGTTTAAAATCTATGAAGCCAAAAGAGAAAAATAAAACTAAAAGAAGATAAATGAGCAAAATACTTGATTCATGTAAGGACTGAGAAATGAGTTAAAAGATCATTTATCATATATTCTGTCCCCTTGTAATGCAATGTCCATACTAAGGCAGATATGAATACATTTTAGTTTTAAAAGTTTAAGAATAAAGAGATAACACAGATTATCAGTGCCCAGCACTAGATTATATTGAAGATTATTTTTACTTCTTTATCTCAAGATACTTTTGTTTCTAATTCAGGAAAATACACTTTTTATGTCTCTCTCTCTTTGTGTATGTGTATCAGCAGGCTTTACTTCTTTAGTTAAATGTTGTTCCTTAAGTTTTAGGACTGATTTTTCAACTCATCAATCATCTTTGTCTCCTGGTCTTTTATACCTCTTAGTTGTAAAATGGAAAACCTGAAACAGAGCAGTTTTGATAAAGGTCTCAATATTAAAAGCATAGCACAATCATTACTTTGTAGTAATGATTATTGTATAGTACCTTGCATTTGGTTTTAGTTTTTTTTTTTTACATTTTCAAAGCACTTTCTTATATATATTCTTATTTTATCTTAATAGTAACTCTAAAAGGCAGACGCTATTTTGCTTCTAAAGAAATTAAGCTATAGGCGCATCAAGTGTCCAAGATGACATAAAGCAGAAGAGAACTTTTTAAGTCCCCTTTATATAAATGCTCATGATATTCTTTTAAAAGTGTTAATGTCTTCGTGTTAACATTTCATATTTATATTCAGACTTAAAGGCCAATTATACTCGGGTTTTTTTTGTCACTGTATTGTAAGATACGCTACTTACTACCTTTTGAAAACTGTTAGGTGATTTTATTATTTTCTTGAATTGTCATTTTGCCAATACAAAAGCTCTGACCTACACATGTTCTCCTTCAGTTTTTTAATTTGAATGTTTTATAGACCCTTTCATCATATATTTGGATCCTGCCTGCTCTGGATGAAGCCATATTCATTAATAATTTCTGGAAAATGAGATGTTGATTGTATTTTGGAGACAATTCACTCAGTTATATTTAGTGTGTTGTATCTGGTGAAAATTGTTATTTACTGTTAGTGAAATAAAAACAAAAAAATGTTCTTTATAGAAGGTTTTTAAAAAATATCCTTTAGGGGCATCTGGGTGGCTCAGTTGATTAAGCGACTGCCTTCAGCTCAGGTCATGATCTCAGAGTCCTGAGATCAAGCCCCACATTGGGCTCCCTGCTCTTTGGGGAACCTGCTTCTCCCTCTCCCTCTGCTGTTCCCGCTGCTTGTGCTCTCTCTCTCTCTCTCTCTCAAATAAATAAAATCTTAAAAAAAAAAAAATAACACGTAATAATGTCAAACTATTGGTGGTTTGTAAAGTTTGATTTTTTTTACTCTTTTTGGTCCCAATTTTTACTTTTATCCATATCCATTATTTACTCGTCATTAAAAAACAAATAGGTCTTATGAAACAGGGTTTGCAAATTCCTAATTTCTGTTTTGTGTTTTTTTTTTCTTCAAATGAATAAGGAAGTGATTTAGAGAAGCTGAGACATGTAAGGACAGAAAACTAACAGCTAACTTCCATACTGCTGTCCTTTATTCCTTTGACTATCAGGCTGCCTGCCTTTGGTGTACTACACTTACCACCCAGTTAAGTTCAGGAAATACACAAAGCATACCACAGAGATAATTGAGAGTTCCATTCCAGACCACTGCAATAAAACAAATATTAAAGTGAGTCAAATGAATTTTTTGGTTTCCCATGCGTATAAAAGTTACGTTTAGACTATGCTATATTAAGTGTGCATTAGCATTGTGATTAAAAAAATGTACATACTTTAAAAAATAATTTTATTGCTAAAAAATGGTAACCATCATCTGAACTTTTAGCAAGTCATAATCTTTTTGTTGGTGGAGGGTCTTGTCTTAATGCTAATGGCTGCTGACTGATCAGGGTGGTGGCTGATGAAGGTTGGGGGTGGCTGTGGCAATTTCTAAAATAAGACAACAATGAAGTTTGCCACGTCAATGGACTCTTCCTTTCATGAACAGTTTCTTTGTAGCATGTGATACTGTTTGATAACATTTTACTTACAGTAGCACTTTTTTCTAATTGAAGTCAGTCCTCTCAAACCCTGCCTCTGCTTTGTCAACTGTGTTTATCTACTATTCTATATGCTTTATTGTCATTTCAACAATTTTCATAGCATCTTCACCAGGAGTAGTTTCCATCTGAAGAAACCACTTTCTTTGCTCATCTTTAAAGTTTTATCGTGAGATTATAGCAATTCAGTCACATCTTCAGTCTCCGCTTCTAATTCTAGTGCTCTTGATATTTCCACCACATCTACAGTCACTTCCTCCTCTGATGTCTTGAACCCCTCAAAGTAATCTGTGAAGGTTGGAATCATCTCCTTCTAAACTCATGTTTGACCTTTCCCATAAATCCCTAGTGTTCTTTTTTTTTTTTTTAAGATTTTATTTATTTATTTGACAGAGACACGGAGAGAGAGGGAACACAAGCAGGGGGAGTGGGAGAGGGAGAAGCAGGCTCCCGCCGAGCAGGGAGCCCGATGCAGGGCTCGATCCCAGGACCCTGGGATCATGACCTGAGCCGAAGGCAGACACTTAATGACAGAGCCACCCAGGCGCCCCAATCCCTAGTGTTCTTAATAGCAGCTAGAATCATGAATGCTTTTCAGAAGGTTTTTAATTTACTTTGTCAAAAGCCATCAGAGGAATCATTATCCATGGAAGCTGTAGTGTTATGAAATGTATTCCTTAAATAATAAGACTTGAAAGTCAGAAGAAAGTCACAATTACTCCTTAATCGGGCCACAGAATGGATGTTGTGTTAGCAGGCGTGGAAACAAGATTAATCCTGTACATCTCCATCAGAGCTCTTGGGTAACAAGAACCTTCTGAGCAGTAGGTCTCAACAGTGGGATTAAAATATTGAGTAAACCATGTTGTAAACAGATGTGCTGCTATCCTTTTTTGTTCCATTTATAGAGCACAGATTTAGCATAATTCTTAAGGGCCCTAGGAATTTCAGAATAGTAAATGAGCGTTGACTTTAGCTTTCACTAGCTGCAATTAGTCTCTAACAAGAGAGTCAGGCTGTCCTTAAAGCGTTGAGGCCAGGCATTGGTTTCTCCTCTCTGGCTATGAAAGTCCCAGATGGCATCTTCTTCCACTCTAAGGCTGTTTCATCTACATTGAAAATCTGTTGTTCAGTGAAGCAACCTTCATTGATTAGCTAGATCTTCTGTATAACTTGCTGTAGCTTCTGTATCAACACATAACTGCTTTCCCTTGCACTTTTATGTTATGGAGATGACTTCTTTCCTTAAACTCCGTGAACCAACCTCTGCTAGCTTCAGACTTTTTTTTTTTTGCAGTCTTCCCACCTCTCTCAGCCTTCACAGAATTGAAGAGAGTTGGGGCCTTGCTCTGGATTAGGCTTTGGCTTAAGGGAATGAATGTGCCTGATTTGATTTTTTTTTATCCAGACTACTACTGAAACTTTCTCCCTATCAGCTTGTTTGCTTTCTGTAATTTATGTGTTCATTGGAGTAACACTTCTAATTTTCTTCACGATCTTTTCCTTTGCATTCACAATTTGGCTAACTTGTGCAAGAAGTGTAGCTTTTGGCCTATCTCGGTTTTCTGTATGCTTTCCTAACTAAACTTAATCATTTCTAGCTTTTGATTGCAAGTGAGATACGTGTGACTTTTCATTTTACTCCCAACACCTAGAGGCCATTGTAGGGTTACAGATTGCCCCAATTTCAATGTATTGTGTCTGAGAGAATAGGGAGGCTTAAAGAGAGTGAGAGAAATGGGAAACAGCTTCACTGTGGAGCAGTCAGAACATATAGACCACTTATAAATTAAGTTAAACATCTTACATGGGCACAGTTCGTTACGGTTACAATAGTAACATTAAAGATCACTGATCACAGATGACCGTAACAAATATCATAGTAATGAAGAAGTTTGAAATATTGTGAAAAGTACCAAAATGTGACATCTGCAGTGCTGTTGGAAAAATGGCATCGATAGACTTGCAGGGTTGCTGTCAACCTTCAATTTGTAAAAAATGGAGTTATCTGCAAAGCACAGTAAAATGAGAAATTTTATGTTTGTGTTCATATTACATAGGAAATATATATTGAGCGAGTGTTATATCCCATTACTATTTTAGGCACAAATAATATGCTAAGACAAAAGGCCTGACTGCTATAGCATATAGCTTATATTCTGAACTTCAACTCAGGTTATTACTCATTTCCATTTTTTTGGAATATTATGTTTTTAGTCTTTGTAGTGCAAAAGTGTTTAAACTCTTTTTTTTGAGATATTGACACCTTAAAAAAACACTGTGTTCTGCATCAAATACAGCCTCAAATTTTGCATTAGGTTGAGGCATATTTTAATTTATATTTTTGGCACAGTTAGAGGTTTCAAATTTTTAAAATAGCATATGAACCTAGCCCTTTAACATGTTTCAGAAAGTTTAAAATATACATGAAAATCTTCTTAGAACAGTCTCATTATTACACAAAATAATAATTTCAGGTGATGATATAGTAAGCAAGTATACTTTGTTATTAAAAATGTGGGTTTTAAATTATTAGCTCATTTATCATTGTCTTGTTTTTGCACTTAAATGGTAATTGAATGATCCAATATGTCTATGATACCTGACATGGAAGATGTTATAAAATGTTACTTCCCTTTTCCTTTCCTCTGTTGTTAATCTCATCTTATTCTGTTTCTGCTCTTCCCTGTAAAATAGGATAGAAATTCCTGACATTACGCTCAGATATGATTATACTGTATATAAAGCCATTTATAAACTATTTTTAAAATAAATGTCCTTCAGTATATATTCTCATATATAAGATAGTACTATAAATTGCGTAGTTGTTAGAACATGTTTTAATTTTTTCCTCTCTTTTTCATTAAAAATTGGTTTAGAATAATCTCACTGCTACTACTGGTCAATTATAAAGTTCACATGGTCTAAATATTTCTAAAATAATAAGTTATCTGGGACATAAAATTGGTTTACACATTAGTCTTAAAATACAAGATAGAAGATTTGGTGGTATCATACATATTACATTGAGAAAGCACAGCTGATGAAGTATTCTTAGAGTGTTATATTATCCTTTTTGATTGTTTTCTATGATAAATTCTTCTTGGGTTAAAAGGAAATTTTAGAGGTACATAATAGTATTTGATCCCAAAGCATTCATTGTTAAATAGTGAAACATTCTTTGTTTTGTTTGATAATCTATTTTTGTTTGAATTATGTTCTCAATGTTTATTCATTTATTTCTTCCAGAAAGAGTTTAAGGTGGAATTTTTCTAATAAGATGCTTACCTGTTGAGTGGTAGATACTATAAAAAATGAGTCTATATCTAAACTAGGATACAAAAACAAAACAAAACACACCCAAAAATATAGAATTTACCTGGAGAATTAAGAGCAGAGATTAAAATTATTATTTTCTTACAGTAATTTTCTTGATAATTCCTTTATAGCATCATATAAAGCATAATTGAAGATTCATTTATGGATTATGTGATTTTAAATGTATAAGTTGTATTTTTATAGTGAGATATTTAAAAATACTATTTGTCATGTTTTTCTTTTATTATAGAACTAAAATTGTCTCTTTCATTTAATTACTGTCATATGCTGAAGACTAAAACTTGACTGGAAGGTAGTTTAATTTTAGTTATAACTATATTAATGAGTTGTTAATATATTGATTTATTACTCTGACCTCTATAATTTTTTACTAAAACATCCTTTTGAAGCTGTGTTGGTGTTCAGTGAGTAATTTTAAAAAGGCTTCTTTCTACTTATAATATATTGAAATTAATACTAATCATTTTTTCTTTCCAAAGATAAATCTAAAATCTGATACACATGTGAGTTTAGATAAACTGCAGTAGGTATATGCTAAACATTGAAATGGTTCTATTCATTCTACAACTGTTCCTTTTTCCTGCTTTGTAAAATAATTTTTTTGATTTAGTCTTTTTTTCTAGACATTCCTATCCTTGACTTTTCTTTCCAGATTTTGTTTCCTAGCCTGTTTGCCATGTTTCCCTTCTTACGTGTCAGGAAATTATCCTACCTTTCTCCATTTTGGTAAGATGACAATTTATAAAAGAAATCAAAACAGTATATTCCATATAAATAGGTGGTGCACATTGATTTTTCTTTGTAATTGTACTAAAAGTGTACATGTTTGTCTGTCTATTCTAACCCTTTTGGTTTTCCATTTGAAAATAAAATGAAATTTATGTTGGAAAAATTTTCCTGATTAAAGATATTCTTTTGATAAAAGTTTTTTTTAACTGAAAACCATAAAAGTCAGTTTATTTTCTACCAAAATTTGATACTTCATTTTGACTTTTTAAAAAATTTTGTGTCTTCTTAGGCAATGTATAGAAATGTAAGTGGCTGGCAGAGTGGCAATATAATTGGAAGAGTTAAGTGATTGTCATTCCTTTCATGCCATGTGTACAGTATAAATCCACTCTTATTACTCTTAGGTAAATTTTAAACGTGTTCAAATATATCATGAGTCCAAAATGTGCACTGTTTTATTTTACTAACCTAATGGCTTACATGGAGGACCTGAGAAAGTTTTAGAATAGTAAAATTATTTGTCTTGGTGGTGTAGCCCAAAACTGGACATATGGAAGGCATTTTTACATGAGCATGGTCTATAATTTTATAAATCTACCTTTTATTTATCCTTTCAGTTTTATTTATCTTCATCCCTTCCTATGTTTTTCTGTTTCTTTTTCTTTCTGCAAGTTGCTTAAATATGCATTTGAAAATAATCTTCACAGGCCAAAATTACTGAATTGTACTTTTCAAGGTTTTTTTTTATAGGTTGCCAATGTACATTTATCAGTGTTAAAAGCAATTTTTAACCCTTCAAACTACAGCATATTTTTAACATTTTTTAAAATACTGATTTTCTTTATGAAATTTACAAATAAAATGAAATATTTAAAAGTATATTTAAACTCAAGGTCTTTCACATTATATAATGTGTTTTCCATTAAAGCCACTATCTCTTTTGTTATATTTTATAATTATAAACAATTATCAAAAGACTCAAGACCAGAATTAAACTGAGCACATTTGATTGCCTTTTGTGATGTATTAGCCTGGTAAGCAGATGACTAGATATAAGATAGAATTCACAAAGTAATCCCACAATGGGAGGATGGAAAAGAATTAAGAGGTCAACAAATACTTAAATTTGTTACAAAACACATATTGCCAAACAGTGATAACTTTTCTTGTGTCTTACCTTTGTGCCCTTTTACTCTTAACATTTTTTTCTAAATTGATTACTTTGAATATGAAAATTGATGAATAAGCTTTGAGGGCAGTAATAATAATAATTATCTTTAGATGTCTTTTAAGAAATAACAAATCACTGAGTTTGGATATCTAAATATTTGACAGAAATCATTATAAACATCTAAGCAATGGGAATGTGCAGAATTAATTCTGTATTTGGAAGACTAAACCAAAGATATCTGCTGCCATATCAAGTATCTCAACTGTGATTAATATCCCTAGTTTGGAATCTGGGCTAAAAGAAGATTATATTGACAGTGGAAGTGTCTGGAATTATCCTTAGGATTCTCGTATCACTTACAGATTTCTAGGTTTTAATAAAAATCACCTTTTCAGCAAGGTTTTCTGGATCATCTAGAAAAAGGGAAGGTGTTATATGCCATTATTTCAAAGATACAAATTACATAGATAGGTTTAAAGAAACCCAAGTCATTGGATCAAAGGTCAACCAACCTTTGATAGTGGTAAAACAAGTGAATGATCTTTGTAGCATTTTTCCTTGATACCCTGTTTGCCTTAGATTTATAACTGTCTTATAGTTCCCAAACAGCTGATGTCTAAGCAAAAGTGCAGTGAACTATGAACAGTTTGAGTCCCAGCTACAAAGCAGTGTGTACACACACACACACACACACACACACACACACGCACATATATAAAGATCCATTAAATTACACTTTCACCTCACAGTTGGAAAGCAGCAGAGTCCCACATACAGTTGAGTTCTTAAAATTTGAATATTAGGATACTACTTGAAATTTAAGACATTTTATGTGTTAATTTTCTGATATATTGTAATTAATTATAAGTTAAAGAAGTAGATCTGTTTTTACAAGCAAGAACTTAAGATGACAGTTTTTTTATGATACTGTAATTTTTGGTTCAGATTTGTATTTTTCAATAAGAACTTTTTTTGAGGTCTTAGAAACATGAACTTTCTATTGTTAGTAAAGTCTTATGCTATAAAATGTATCAGGTAAAGAGGATGTTTGTTTTTAAGGGTGAGTGTTGTTTTCCAAATGCATATGAAAAGCACAGGTTAACTTGTGAGTCCTGGTGGTACTTTTTAATGTATAGTTTGTTAGAAATCCAGAAACGTTCTTTTTTATCTTTTAAGATGTACAGTTACGTCTTAGTAGATATGTTTAATTTTATTCTCCAGATCTTGTAAATTTTGATGACATAGCTTCCTCAGAAAACTTGCTGCATCTCACCGCAAATAGACCGAAGATGCCCGGAAGAAGGTTGCCGGGCCGCTTCAATGGTGGACATTCTGTGAGTTACACTTACTGTTCTAAAACACAGAATTTAGCAAATCCAGAATCCTTCTAAAGATAGGAACAAGGAGGATTTGTAACTCCACCAAAGTTTAAAAATCAGGAAGATAGTTATGATACTCAAGTGGCAAATGGTTGGTTGTATTTAGGGAGATATGGGGTCATGTTCATTTCAGAGAAGATTACAGAATCAGGAATAAAGAGCTATCCTGAGACCATAACCACAAAGCACATGTAATCAAAAGGGGTCAGGGTACCCATATAATCTATCCATCTCACAACAATAATTAGAATTGAGTGGTACATATTCACCTTAGGAAAGAATGAGAACATTCTTTTCCTCTGAAATAGTGGGGGTTTTTTTTGTAGTACTAATGCTAGTATCTAAATGTGTAGCTTCTTTTTATGTTTTCTCTACATTGCCTGGAATGCTGGTAGTATTTTATTATTAATATATTAGCTCTTGAGCGCTATGGTGCTTTTAAATTACCGAAGTAGAGAAAATTTTTGTTGCTAGGAGGCAGGCTATTTTTACTTTCCAGATATGCAAGTGTGTTATTCAGCTTGAAATTATGTAATATCCTGTTAACAATAATGGAATATCTGGAACACTAGGTGCTGAAAAACAGTGATAAAAATTACTTAGTTTATCATCCAAATGTTTATTGCCTTTTCCTTCTTTGGTATTTTCTGTTTGTTGATTTTAAAAAATCATTCAGCCAACTCAAAGCCCAGAAAAAATCTTGAAGTTACCAAAAGAAGAAGATGGTGCCAACTTAAAGCCATCTGAATTTAAAAAGGATTCATGCTATTCTCCAAAGGTGAGGGGCATTGTGGCCTAAGATTTGTATAATTTGTAGGATTCTTTGTGAACACCAAAATTGTAGAATTTAAAGTGTCTTCTAATAATTATTTCTTCTGCCAAGAAATAAAAAAATTCTTGCTAAAAAATGGAGTTACTAAAGTCACACTGTCCTCTGTAGATCATTTTTTAAAAGAGCTTATTTTAAATGAGTAGTATAAATGTTACACGTTTCATATTTTTTAAGGCATAGATCTATCCATCTGTTTCATTTTCCCATTAAACATACACTCTTTAGGCCAGAAGCCATCATTTGTTTACTCCTGACCTAGCATGGTGCACTGAATATATACTGGAATGAATGGCAGTATACATGGATTCTTCCATTTGTTACATGGTGTTAAGACTTTTCTAAACTCTTGCATTTTTATTTAAGATAGTATTATCACAACCTATACACATCTTATATTTAAGAAATTAGTGTTTTCTCCTCAAATTCGTTCCAAGCAGCATTTGGCTGCTATTCCAGTTTATCAGATACACTTAAATCTGATTCCCTCAACTTGTCAACAGTCGATTGAAATTTTACTTCCTGTTACTTGAGTGAAATAGTAAAAAGAGCATCAGGCCATGGATTCATTTTAATGCCTCTTCCATGGACTTATTCAATTCTTCATAATTACTTTTAAGTGAAATTTAAATAATGACTATTTAAAGTGGAGGATCAAAGCAGCACTTTAATAATGCTGATATATTCTTGCCTCTAGATGCTCCACTCGGCAAACCATTCATAAGATAAATCTTAATAGGTTTTTCTTTTCCACTTTTTAAAAATTATTATTAATAAATCTTTTGACATTTCTCACATAAACTAGTGATTCCAAGTTTATTCTTTGGTTGTTTGGTGGTTTTACTAGTTGTGAATATCAAGCTGCTTTTTGAATTTCCAAAGTTACCATTTATCTTGAATTATTACTTTATTTACCTCCTTCCTATAAAATTTTTTGAACTTAAACATAAATATAAATACAAATAAAGTAAGAAAATATTCTATTATGTTTTCAGCCATCTGTGTACCTTTCAACACCTTCAAGTGCTTCTAAGCCAAATACGGCTGCTTTTTTAAGTCCATTAGAAATCAAAGCTAAAGTAGAATCAGATGATGGGAAAAAAAATCCCTTGGATGAACTTAGAGCTCAGATTATTGAACTGCTCTGCATTGTAGAAGCGCTGAAAAAGGATCATGGGTAAGTAGCCCTTGTTTTCCTCTTTGAAAACTGCTTAACACATACGTAAAGAATTCTTTCAAATTCTATCAAGCAGAGATGTAATCTGCCAAATTTCTAGTATAAGCAGATATGTTTCCAAAGAAATTTTCATTAATAGTGCTTCCCTCCTTTCTGCAAAAAACTTGAATTAGGAAACTTGTTCTCATAGGCTTATTATGGAAAAGGTATATATGTACCCATAATTCAAGGGTAGAAATCTTCTGGTCAAACACATGGGTTAATTAGTCTTAAAAATATTAGGAAAAGTTATATTGTATTTCAGATCTGGAGTGTATATTTACTTTTCAAGAGGGACTGAATCACTGTCTCTGTTAGGGTTGAGATTGGTATGTAAATAAAACCAAGGGGTTGGGAATAGGTGATCTTTAAAACCATTCTCTTGGGCGCCTAGGTGGCTCAGTTGGTTAAGCAACTGCCTTCGGCTCAGGTCATGATCCTGGAGTCCCGGGATCGAGTCCCGCATCGGGCTCCCTGCTCAGCAGTGAGTCTGCTTCGCCCTCGGACCCTCCCCCCTCTCATGCTCTCTCTATCTCATTCTCTCTCTCAAATAAATAAAATCTTTAAAAAAAATAAAAAAAAACATTCTCTTAATTCTGAAACTTTTCAATAATAGTATATGGTGAGATCCTAAGTGAAAGGGAATTTTTAGAGTGAAAACAAATGTAAAAGGTCACCTACTATAGCTCCTCTCCTTTCTTTTAACTGAAGAAGTAAAGGTTCAGAGAGGTAAAGCTATTTATCTAAGATTATATGGTTCTTAAAAGGCAGAGCTAGAACTGAAATCATATTTTCTGTTGGTTTAGAGATATTTTTCTAGAACCGTTATTATTTGAGCTTTAGAACTTGTTAACATTAAAAAATAAATAAATATAAAAATAGAACTTGTTAACATTTTAAACATAGTTCTACAAAGGCCCAGTAGGTAAAACAGGTCAAAGATGAGCTAATCTAACTGAACCAAGGGTGAGGGTTGGTTCAGGTGCTCTTCTCCTATCTCATCTTCCCCTGTAGCTTCTAAAAGTATTTGATGGTATATGGAATCTGGTATAAAAGTCATTGCCAGAAACCATGCTGCCTCAGAGCTGAATTTACCATTTCTCCCCCAGTTTTCAGATGGCACTGGATTCTTTATTAAAGATGATATTGAGGGGTGCCTGGGTGGCTCAATCGGTAAGGTGTCCAAAACTCTTGGTTTCAGCTAAGGTCATGTGATCTCCTGGGTCATGAGATCAAGCTCCACGTCCGGCTTCATACTCATTGGGGCGTCTGCTTGAGATTCTCTCCCTCTACTCCTCCCCACTGTGTGCGTTCTCTCTCTCTCAAATAAGTAAATCTTAAAAAAAAAAAAGGTACTGAGATTAACAATATATTTGTAGTTGCAGAGCACTTTTACAAATGTCTTTTAAGTAGAACCAAAAAATTTATCTTGAGTGACTACTTAAAAAATATATTTGCATATATAGAGAGAGAGAAAGAGAGGGAGAGACAGAGTGTTCTTAATTTGATACATGTTGGGTCTTTTCTTTACCCTTCAGTTTATCTGTCTGAATCCTGCGGAACTTTTTTTTTTTACAGATTCTGCAATATACACATTATAAACTGTAAGTTCATTCATCTAGGAAGTATTTATTGAACACCATCCATGTGTAAGTTAGAGAACTCTCCTAATTTGTTGATTTTGCCATTTACATTTTTGATACCAAGTCTGCTATTTTTAGTGAACTGATAATTACATTTACAAATTGCCCCTCGGTGTTCTTAAAGTAGCTGTAGGATGAATAAAATATTTATGACATATATATTTTAAAACATATATATATCAGATATTTTAGAAATCTTTCCAATGGGTGTTTTCAAAGTTATTTCCTCTGGGAAAATGAAATGGATGGCAGATTTTTTAATCTGAAAAATAAGAGCATCACAGGAGAATGGGTAAAACATATACTGGTATGTTGATACAACAAAATGCTATACAGTGTACAGCAAGAAAAAATAAATGGATTGTGGCTATATGTGTCAACATGAATCAGTCTGAAAAAAGAGGGTAGGGAAAGCAAGTCAGAGACATCCATACAGTATTATTTCATTTACATGAAGTTTGAAAAGCATATAAAATCTGTGTGGTTTCAAGATATTATTTGTATATGTGGTAAGAAAAGAAAAGAAATAAAGACTATAGAACTCTTCCTGTGAAGGAGAGGAGGAAAATAGGATTGTGGGTCACTCTGGGTATCAGAGGTACTGGTAGTAATAATTTATTTCTTGAGCTGACTTGGAATTCTTAGGTTTTTTAATTATTTTATCTTTGTAGCTTACAAATACATAGTCTTTATGCATTCAGTGTTAGAATCTAAAATGTTTGGAACAAATCATTAAAAAAATTGAAGGTTATTGACATGGAATGATTGACAAATGTATTAGTAATCTGTTTCTTTAGTTGAAAAGTTATAGAACAAGAGATATAGTTTGATCTGTTCCTGTAAAAAGAAAACAATGTTACATAAAAATTTTATATTCACAAATGTGTTTTTAAAAATAAAAATGTGATAGATAGAGCAGGATAAATATTTTTAGGAATAGATCCTCATTTAGATATAATTTAAATGTATAATAAACTCAAAGTAATAGAATAATTAGAAAATGGAAGCATTATTTAATTTAGTGGTAACATTTTAGAACTACAAAGTTAATATTTTAGCACATTTTCTATCATACTAAAATAAACTCTAGATACGTTTGAGTTAAATATTTAAATTATAATTTAAATTGAAACAGTAGAACATTTATTCTCAATATAGAGAAATAGCTTTATAATCATTAAAACCACAGAAGAAACTAGTTTTGAAACTATAGAATTTAAAAGTTTCTTTCTGGGGCGTCTGGGTGGCTCAGATGGTTAAGCGTCTGCCTTTGGCTCAGGTCATGATCCCAGGGTCTTGGGATCGAGCCCCGCATCGGGCTCCCTGCTCCGTGGGGAGCCTGCTTCTCCCTCTCCCACTGCCCCTGTGCTTGTGTTCCCTCTCTCACTGTGTCTCTCTCTCTCTGTCAAATAAATAAATAAAATCTTTTAAAAAAAATAAATAATGGGGGAAAAGAAAAGAAAAAGAAAGTTCCTTTCTTTCTCATGTAGTCTTTCTTCCTGAGCATTTTCATGCATTTTTCAAGCTATTATTTCTATAATACTCTTGAAGAGAATTTTCCTAGCATATGTCAAAAAGCTGTGAAAATGTCCCTACTTTTTGATTTAGAAATTTGATATGCTGGTATATTCATGATAAATAAAATTCCTATTCTTTCCATCTCCCCCCAAAAAGCAATAACCAGAAAACCTGAATATTTGAGTATCAAGCAACAATTATCAGAAATATGATAATTTTAGCAGCATGGAAATATTTTAAAACACTTTGTGAAAAGACACGATATGGAATATATAGTTACAGCTGTGGAGGGAAGATGACTATATAAAAAAAGACGAGAATACAGAAAAATGCAAACATGAGTTAAGGAGGACGGATTGTTGGCTAAAGTTTTTTTGTTTATTGGTCTGGTAATTTTATTTATTTATTTATTTATTTATTTATTTATTTATTTATTAACGATTTTATTTATTAGAGAGAGCATGAGAGGAGGAGGGCCAGAGGGAGAAGCAGACTCCCCGCTGGGCGGGAGCCTGATGTGGGGCTGGATCCCAGGACCCTGGGATAATGACCTGAGCCAAAGGCAGATGCTTAACTGACTGAGTCACCCAGGCGACCCTGGTTTGGTAATTTTAATGTAGTATTTAATTTTAAAAAACTGATAAAGAGAAATGTAAAGTCCAGGTAACCCTGTTAAATAATACATGTTTTGACATTACCAAATTGCTTGGGCTTTAGAGTGTCCAGCCTGGAAAATGCATGATAACTGAATATGGAAAATTCTTCTAAAGGCCAATTATTATTTCTTTATTTTATCATGAGCTGCTTTCTCTGTTCACTTAAATTCTTTATCACAGGTAGGTTTGCCATGGCATTGCTGAGTTTTTTTTTTTTTTTAATGTTGTATTGAACCATTCCATTAGTGAATTTGAAATTTTTCTTGATCAATATGGCTATTTTCTTTAAAACGTTTTCCTCATGTTTTGGTATGTCAGGTAACAGAGATCCCGTTAACATTAGTCAAATATATTGTTTAAATGAAAGACTTAACAGTAATAAATAGTTTGTTTTTAGGAAAGAACTGGAAAAACTACGAAAGGATTTGGAAGAGGAGAAGGCAATGAGAAGTAATCTGGAGGTAATTCATTTCTCCTAACATTGATTGTAGTCAGCATAAACTAGGTGTGTTTTCCCATCTCTGCTAGGTGATTGGGTTCACTACAAATTATGCTTTCCTACTTCAGTTGGACACTCCCTGCTGCTTGATAGCCATTTAACTAATCTCTTGTTGACTCCCTGTCACATTCCATTCATTCATGCAGCAAATATTTTTGAGCACTAGCTCTCAGGCAATGTGTGAGAGGCATAAGGTATATATTCATAAATAAACATGGTTCTGGCCTTGTAAGAGTGTGTAGTTTTAGATCTTTTGCATTCTTGCTTTCTTGAACTATTTCTCTTTTTTTTCCACAGTTAAACTTTTTTCTTTTTAATTCTTTTTTTCTGCCTGGAGGCAAGGGTGGTGGGGGTGAGGGTGGTAATGGGATGGCTATAGATTTGTTGACTTGATTTCTCACTGAGCATTTACTTCATAACTATGAAGTCATCATCTTCACTCTGCTGATGACTACAATTTCACTTATTTTCCTTAATTTTTTTTCCATCTGCTCCATCCATGCTTCCTTTGGTCTTCATTTGTATTCTTATTTTCTGCATATTTCAGAGAAAGTGTACTCTGCCTTTTTTCAGAGTCTCTTCCCATTTGGTACTTAAGTATTTCATGTGCCTCCCTGTTTTTACCTTGCCTTATTGCTTACCCTATTGTTAGCATTGTGAAACAGAAAGAACATGGGACTTGGTAAAAACAAAACAAAACAACAACAACCAAAGAAAACCTTGAGCCCCTCTTCTGACTTACACTGGTGACTTTCAGCTCTAAACTATGTGTCAGTTAGGCTTGGCACCTCCTGTACGTTATCTCAGTGGACACACATAACAACTTGTAAGGATTATTGTTCCTATTCTAAGGATGAGGAAACTAGGGTTTAGAGTGATTAAATCAGCAGTTGGGCTGAAATTTTTAACAGAAACAGCCAGACTTATTGAAACTTTGCTCTCAGGGATTAAGTTATACTGTTTGAACTTGAGGAAGTCACTTAGCTGCCTTTTAGTTTTAGTTGTTGAGATAATATATGTGAAGGTCTTTGGTAAATTATCAAAACTCCATTTTCACTCCTCATCTGACGTATCCCTTTTATTGTTACTTTCCCTTTTTCCATGAAAATACTCAATTTTTCCCCTTTAAAAAAACCAAAGTCCTCTTTCAGGTCCAGCTGCCCTCTTAATCTGTAGTTTTCACTTTTCATTTGCTGCAAAACAACCAAAAAAAAGTGTACGTTTGTGGTCTCTAATTCTTCACCTTTAATTCACTCAACAACTCTTAACGTTTTAGGTTTACTGAAGGCAACCAGTGTCTCCAGTTTCTACAGCATTTCACATTTTTTAATCTGTTGCCACTTTTTCTGCCCTGGTTTATGTGATCTATATTCTTTTGTTTCAGTCCACTTCTCAGCCCCCTCTTTTCTCTAAGTGAAATGTTGCTTCAGAGCTGCCCTTGGCCCTCCTCTCAGCATCTCCTCACTCTTTTCATACCTGTGCCCTCAAGCACTGTGATTAGCTTTCGTCCCTCTCCTATCTGAATCTGATTCTCTTTTCCCAGCTTCTGTCCTGTTTCCAGCTGCTCGTCTCCCTGGATGATCCGCCGTGATCTTAGAACTAGCATGTACCCTTTTATGTTTATCATCTTCCTTTCCTGCTTTTCCGATTTTCTCTTTCTGTTGATCATTTCATTGCCTTTCAAGTCTTACATAGTACTTCCGTTCTCGTTCCATTCACATTTAGGCCAGTTAGCTTTACTCCCTCACCTTATCTCCTTGTTCCTAGTATTTCCGTTCTTCTCCCATGCTCTTTATCTTCTCTTTAGCTATTTAAGTTTCTCTCATTCTTATCTCAAATTAATCTTCCTTTATTTAGTACTTTCAAGAACTTTCTGTTACTTGCTGAATAAAGTTCAGACTTCTCAACTTAGCATGTGAGGTCTTTCATGTCTTGGTCCTAGTTTATCTTTTCTTGCTTGCTGATCCTCAGTTGTCCCTCACAGTTAATTCGTCTGAATTTTTGCTCTTACTGTATTTTCTTGGACTTTCATTTCATCTTCTCATGCATAAGTTCTACAGATTCTCAAAGCTTACCTCCAGCAGTCACCCTCATTAAGTTAGTACCCATCTTCCTCTGATTTAAAAGTAATTTTGTCTTCTTCCAAATTCATGTCCTTTATTTTGAAAAGGTTAAATAATAATTTTCCATCTTATCACTGTGACATTATGGACTTACTTTGCCCATCTTCTAGACTGTAAGACTGTTTGAGGGTGTATCTGTCTGTTCCATCTTTGTCCATAGTCCTAGCAAAGTGCTGTACACATATTAGATAGCTAATTTTTGTCAAAGAATACATATTAAAAATGTCTTAAATTCCCAGAAATTCAGAAATTAAAAACAAGTTTCTTGATTTTTATTTGTTGTATTTCCTACATACACATATTCATATATGAAAATAAGGTGTTATAAGCAAGAGGAACTAATACAGTGTTAAATTTCTATATATGATTTAATTTGTCATAAAAATCATAAATGAATTATTTCATTTTTGAAGAATTTTATTTGATTCAATTTTTTAGCAAAATCAGCTGTTACTTAGACTCGCACTCATTTGCATTACAATTTTTTTTTTGCCTAATGGGGAAAGTTTGACCCTCGTATTTATAAGAGCACACCTAATAAGACAGAGTTTTAAGATCATACATTCAAAGGAGAAATTTTGTTCCCTAAAGATTAAAAGCAGTACTTTGAACTATGAAGTTAACATACAGTATTAAATTATACTGAGGAATGATAAAAGTACTAAAGATGAACAATGAACATAAAAGTGCTAGAAGAGGAACTCTAGCAGTAAAAATATTTGCTTGATATCTAAATTTATGTGACGGTCTATAAGGAGTATTACTGATTGAGTGCAGGGTTATTCTTTCTGTCCCCTACTCCTTTTTTCACCGGTGTTTTTTTTCCCCCCATTTTCTTTGCATCCTTGCTTGTTAAAATTGGTCTAGTTGGTTCATGTATCTTTGGAATAGAGATGATACTAGCACAACATGATGAAGATTGAAGGTATTTTGTCTCAATCCAGGCTGAAGACCAAGGCTTGTCCCAAAGTAGTGCTGTTAAAATATTTACCTAATAATCATATTAGTGGAAGATTAATATCAGGAAAGATCCTAGAATTAACAAACCATATTTGAATGGTTAGAATCCCTTAGGAAATTCTGAGCATACTGAAATTATACATTTTGACTGGCAAAGTGCTTATCATTTAATAATGAATTGTTTGTCAGAGGTTTGCTGTAGCAGGTATTACTTGTATGCAGCGCTGGGGACAGGGATGATGCTGTCAGGAGAAGGTAAGGCCTGAATGTTTCCGCATGCAGTGAACGGTCAGAGATCATCAAAACCTTTCATAATTGGGAAGAGTAAAAAACTGGCATTCAGAGCCTTAGACCCAGTCAGTGCAAGTTCTGTACCACTTGCTAGTGTGGACACTTGGCATGGTATTTAATCATGATTTGTAATGTATCAGAATTAAATAACCACAGTTATTGTGAACATATATTGAATTTTCCTAATTCTCTTAAGTTTCTTAAATTGTGAATTTCTGTTAAGTGAAGGATGTCTTCTGCCTAAAGGTGGAAATATTTCCAACACATTGACTGAATCTTAGATACATTCCTGGGTTTTAAAAAGAATTTAATCTAGAACATACTGTTTACAGATGAGGAAATTGAGACCAAATGAGGTTAAGGGATTTGCCAATTTCACTAGGTAGTAAGTGAAAAACATAGGACTAAACTGGTCTTTATTATGATCATTTTTCAGTTCTTTACTGCCACCCCCCCTTTGTTTAATTACAGGTACTTGTACGTTTCTTAATTTGGTTTCAAGGATTCTCTTGTTCTTTGGAGGGCTGATTTTATGACAGTATTTTTTTCGGATAATCCCATTCCTTAATATTGTTCTGGCTGAAACAACTGTAGTTGCTGTTTTGTGGTTGTCTCCTGCCATTTAGGAACTGTATTAGGAACTTGTGGTGTGTTCTTCTGTTAAACTTTTTCTTTATTGATCACACCATTGGAAATTGGATTTTAGAATGGAAATAGAAATCTGAAGTCTTAGCAAAGTATGATTGGATCTTAATGACATAGGATAAAATAATTTGACTAAAGATATTTTATTTATTGTCAACTTATGTTTTATATCTTAGGTGGAAATAGAGAAGCTGAAAAAAGCAGTCCTGTCTTCCTAAAATGGCATGGCCCCGTGTTCTTAAGGTTCCAGGGATTCAGAAGCAACACTATGAACTTCAACTGACTTGTTACTTAAAAATAACAAATGCTGTTGTCCTGATAAAGAAATATGAGTATTTGAACTATAATCTATAGAAAAGTAGGGAGAGGGTGGATTTTTTTTTTTATATATATTTTGTTTTGCCAATATGAAAAAAGAAAAGGCCTTATTTCTTATGTGCTGGAATTGCAAACTTTTTTTTTTTAGTTTGCTTGAAAATACTACTGAATCTGTATAAAAAGGAAAGAAAGTTCACAATAGTTTTTTTATTGAAACTTGTAGTATTATTTTTAAAGAGATCTATACTATAAATATGGTGATATCTTTACAAATAATCTGTAAAATATACTATTTGAGAGGGACAAATTAGCTTTATAGTAACTATAGCCACTACTTTTCCCATAATACATAAGGGATATAAACTTTGTATATATATATATTTTTTACTTTTAGCTTCTTACCCAGGATTACACTGTTGTGCCTGTTTGTTTGCAGTGCTGTTTATACTCTGGGTGATGAAATAGGAGTTTCCTAGCTATAAACCAGATTATTCACCCAAGCATATAGTAATAACTAATGAAACAATCAAAATAATTTCTTCAATTTTTAGAATATTTTATATTGCTTGCACTATAGGATTCATAAAAGGAATTTAGCTAAAATATATTGGATTGTTAACTATATTTGGGAAAATATGAGCTATATTTTAAATTCATTAGGTCGAGGAACTAAAAATGTCAATTTAACCCTTAACTTGTGCCTAGAAACTACAGCACATATAATATGCAAACACCAGCCTTATTGCTGTACTTTTCTGCTTATTTTACAGGCTCAGAGATTACTCATTTTGTGATCTTGTGATTGAGTTGTTCATACTCCTCCCTCTGATTTTTAATAATGGTAATATGAGGAGAACAAAACTCAGAACACTGAGAACTTCGGTGTGAGGTTTCATACTTTGACAAATTATCATCGTGTAAATACTCAGGTTTGACAATGTGTAGTTTACCTAAAAGGCCAAACTAACTGGTGGAGATATTTTAGGCTGTCATTTAGGTACCAGAGTGTTAGTATATCAAAACATAACAGTACAGCTTATTTAAAACCAAATACAGTTGACCATATTCAAAATGCATTTTCACAGGATGGATGAATTAGTAGTTTCTTAAGAGTCACTTATGAACAGTTGAACGTTTTAAAATGTTGTTTCTATAGATAACCTGTCTTAAAATATGTGGGTTTGTATTAAAAATAGAAAACTTGACTTTTCATTTATAAGAAAATTAGATTTTAAGCTTTATTATAGCAAAGACTTTCAGATTTTGAGTACCACCTATCATGCTTCCGTTTTGTGTTATTTTAAACGACCAAACCAGTTCTTTCCCTTTAAGTTTTAATCTTATATACTGAAATCTTATTAATGAAATTTTGCCATGTTGTCTCACATAAAAGAGAACTGAAGTAGAAAATAATAGAAATTCCAGGAATTACTTAATGTTAAATTCAGGAAACATGATTGTGCATTGAGTATGTACATTTTAACTCTTTAAAGTCCTTGGGCTTTTCTGATTAGGTCACTACTGAACGAAATTGTTTACTCCTATTCTAATATTTTTAAATGACTTGTTGAATGATTTCCTTCTTGCTAAAAAAATTAGATTTTTTAAATTTTATTATGTTATTTAGATTTTATTTTCTTTTAATTAATTGTCCTTAGGTAGAAATAAAAACATTGTATCCTAGAAATCATTCTCCAGCTTTCTGACTGGAACATCTATTAAGTGACCCCTCCTCACCCTGATAATGGGGTGAGGGAAGTTTCCAGCAGATTTCAGACTGTTCTTAGAGTTTTTCTTGGTCATTTTCTCACTAGTGCATAAAATGAAGGTGGTCATGAATACTGACATACATTTAAAGTATCTGCTTTGTATACTCCTCAGTCAGAATAGAAATTAAAGTACTGTGTCTCTATTAGAAAATTATTATGGCTCTATTTTTCTGCCCTTGATCAAAAAGTAAAGTTCTTAAAGCCAAACTCAAGGGAAGAATGATTACTTCAATCTAGCAATTTACCAGTATTTGCTCTTGATGTGGGAATTTTATTATTTTTATTCATAAAGTTCATATCACAAAATAGCCTTTATTTGGGGATAAATCATTGTTTTTTTCTATGAGCGAGTATAAATGACAGACTAGGGATGAACAGTGTAGAATCTGTCATTGCCAAATTATTAGTGAATGTATTTTTCAGGTCTGCTATTCTTTGAAACACATAATATTACTAATTTTCCTACTTGTATTTCAGTAGTGGAAGTATTTTGTGTGTGTGTGTGTGTGTGTGTGCTTGCTTGTGCAAGCTTTAGTGGTTGGTCTTACTATAAAGCTGTTACCTCTTTACAAAATTTAAGTCTGAAGATAGGAAGAGAATGGGGGTTCTCTTTTTTATGCTTTACTGTGATCACGGGGGCGGGGGGGGGGGGGGGAAGAAACCCAAGTGCTCTCTTGAGTTGTTGGTAAACATTTTGTGCTTGCATTTAAACTTGAAATGTATGAACAGAATAAGACAATCAGTTAAAATCAGAAATGAGAAGCGTTAAAAATTTAATGGCCTTGTTTTGCTGTAGCAATAAAATGACCAAGTGCAATGATTTGATTTAATAAAATCATCTTTTAAAAGTTGCTGCTATGAATATTTTTAGCCATAAAACTTTACCCTTGTTTTAGCCTGACTTGCCTTCAGTAACTATTATGTAATGCAGTTGGTGTTGTGGTATTCTAACATTCCAAAAAAATAAAAATAATATATATGTGGGGAAACTCAAAATAGTATACTTCACTGACTTGTTTACAGGTGCTGTAAAAAAGCATGCTTCTCCCTCAAAAAGAAAAACAATAAAGAATAGTATTGCCAGTTGTGTTGGTCTTTATTAATTTTTCATTAACATCAGCATATGTTTACTGCAGAGTATGATGAAAATTCTATTACTTTGAGTTTTCCAAATAAGAGAAACAATGTAAATAGTAAAATGAAAGCATTAAAAGTTCTAGACCTATGTGACTTTTACTGAACCTTTTTGAGTCTCTTTTCCCCCTGAAACTGTGAGATGATAATTTCTACCTCACAAGTTTATTGGGATAATTTGAAATGATTTATATAAAGTATGTTGCAGAATACTTGGCGTAGAGTGTTTTTTTTTTTTTTTTTTTTTTTAGTGGAAGCTTCTGTTCTCTTCTATGATGTAAATTAGATAAGATTTAAAAGAAAGGCATAGTAGTTTTTCTCCCCCTGTTTTTGAGTACAGCATCTCTTTTGGGGGAGATAGCTCCTTACATTAGCATTATATTCAAATAGAACTGCTACCATCTTAAAGATTCTGCCTCCCTGACCACCCAGTGATTGACCCAACGGAGAGTACTTTGCCCAAACTGAGTTCCTGACTTAGAGACTGAGATTGTAAAAATTTGGAAGAAAAAAAAAATTTTTTTTCTTTTTTTTTTTTTTGTTTGAAACAGCACTGATCTCAGCATGGGAGTGCTCTCAGTTAATAGTCTGTCATCTGGAAAAAGCTGATTGGGAAGAACAGATCTTTAAATAGAGCATAAAGAGATGGAAACAATCCAGAGAATTTTAAAACCGATTACAGTCATTCCTAAATCCCAGCTATCCATCCACTGCTTGGTTCCTTAAGCATAAACTTGCTCTTAAGTTTTTTGGGTTTCTGATCTCACAACTGGAAGCCCTGATAAAATAAAAAAAAAAAACAAAGAGTCCAGAAGACATCAAGACCCATGTACTCTTGCTGAAAATATGCCACATACACGACTGTAAGCTTCTTAGAAATCCACCGGAAGATTTGAATCCTAGAAAAGGAATGACACCAGTATGAAGTAATACAGAAAAAAAAAATGTGGCAAGTCATTTAAGTTAAAAATGTAGTTTGAAAATTCCTACATGCTTCTTACTGGCCTTGATAAACACTAGGCATAAATTAAGCCTGCCAGGCACAGGATGGTGAAGTTTGGATTATAGAATTTTATTTTTTATTTTTATTGGTGTGGGAAACAAAGGCAGAAGGAAATGTAGATAAAATTAAATGTCCTTATAACCTGCAGCCCATTGACAAATACTTGAGGCCGGCAGAGTATTATGTTCCTCCAGGAAGCTCCCAATTGTCTTAGTATTAATATCTTGCTAGAGGGAAAAAGAGCCTTGGTTTGACAACAGCAAGACCTCCAGTATCCTGTGAGTCTTCTTTAGCATAATGAAAATCCTTTTGACACTTCCCTTATCTTTACTTCCCCCACCCCCAAAGTATAAAATCAGTTGCTCCTCACAGTCCCAGGACCTCAGCTCCTTCCCCTCCCCGCGCTTTAGTAAAACCCTTTTTGTACCAAACGTGGCTCTAAAATCTTGGCCATCGACTCCAGAACCTCACCAACATTCCAAAACGACGTCATTGTTTTTTGGATTACAGAATTTTAATATTTGAAGGGACATTAAAGAGGTTGAACAGTCCGATCCCTGTGCGGATGGTTTTATATGAAAATACAATTTGCACGTTTAGTCTAATTCTAGGAAATAAAAGCAGATAGCAGTTTAACTCAAATGAATCTATTTGGCTTTATTACTTGCCAATTAAGATTTAGAGAGTAGACTGGGTGGGTCTTGGTGTTAAAATTTATTTCTGAATACTAAACATTGTTTTCATTTTGCCACTAAGACCTTTATTGTGACTATGCTTGTGTGTGTGTGTATGGAAAATAAATTTAGAAATAGGTATCAGTATTTTTTTGTATAGAGCCAGTAATCTTTTCTATCACAGAAGGTGTTGTGGTTTTCATTTTGCAACTATTGGGTGGTATTTTTTTCCTATCAGGTTACAAGTGTTTTTTATTAGCTACATTTCAGTTCCTAAAAAGTTGTGTGAATAAAGTTATTAAAAGTAAAACTCATTTTTAAACAGTGTACTGAGTAACTTAATTCTTCAGTAAAGAAAAATCACTTAACATTTCATAGTATATAGTGTATTTTTAGAACTGTTCCTAAAACATTAATTGAACAGAATGCAAATGCAATCTGATATGACAGAGTAATGACATTTTTACTCCTCATCTCCCTTGAAACTGACTAAAAACAAACAGGATGAAAAATAGATTTCGTAGATTAAAAGAGAGATGTAAAATAAAAACATTGCTCTCCGGGCGCCTGGATCACTCTCTGGGCGCCTGGGTGGCTGTCGATAAACATCTGCCTTTGGCTCAGGTCATGATCCCAGGGTCCTGGGTTGGAGCCCCACATTGGGCTCCCTGCTCAGCGGGAAGCCTGCTTCTCCCTCTCCCACTCCTGCTTGTGTTCCTGGTCTTGCTGTCTTTCTATCAAATAAACTCTTAAAAAAATAGCGCTCTCCAATAAGGAAACAACCACAATTTATAATAAAAAAATAACCTCCCAAATGCTTTGAGATTTGGAACAAAATGAGGGACAGCCTGAAGACTGACATAAGCCTCCCCAGACCTGTGTCAGATGCAGATTCCTCTGAAATGTTTATATGATCATCTTAGGCCCAAATCCTGTATGGCAGAATGGCAGGGGACATGGGACTGAAGGAGAAGCCACACTAACTATTAATTTGAAGGCTGAAAACCAAGGGGAGGGAGACATATTCTTAGGAAAGAAAACAGCTCTGATGAGAGCGTGTTTAAGTAACAGACGGAATTAAAGCTACGTTCCCTCCCTCATCGAACTCCTCCCTGAGCTAGTCAGCAAGTAACTGACACTGTTCAAAGGTGAGTAATCAGACGCAGTACACACAAGGACCTTTTCAGATGCTTGTGCTATATTCAAATGTGTAAAACATTGTCCTAAAACAAAGGCTTGATCCTGCAAATAGAAATCCCTGTGACACCCAGGCACCCCTAAGTGGTCAGTTTAATTACCCTAAGGTTAACAGGAAATTTATCTTTAAAAATAGGTATCATGTCAAATACTGAGCTAATGTATGCATTGTGCTTACCATGTTCCAAGCACTGTTGCAAGTAACATTTGTCTGTCATCTATCATGTAATAGGCACTATTGTTACCCTGCACCGATGAGGAAACAGGCTTGAGAGGCTAAGCAACTTGGCCAAGGCTGCTGGGCTAATAAGAGATGGAGCTAAACCCAGGCAGGTTTTGAAGCCTGTGTTCTTGATGGTATGCTAGCCCTACATAGGTAATGTATGGGAAAGAAGGAGCCTGAATTGGGAAATTCTATTCTTAGTTTTTTCAAGTCTTTGTAATCCTTTATATTATTTATTAAATGTTTCCATCAGTGAGGGAGACTAGATAATTTACAAAGTCCATTTTCAGCGATCTCATAGTCTGTTTAGATTTCTTTGTGATGCGGTCACATACAAGATTTTAAGGAACATTCTCTGTTTCTTTGCAAACGTTAAAGTGATTTTCATGGCTTTTCAGTCAAGGTGGGGAAAGAAAAGCCTTACTTGGCTCCCATAAAGAAATGACCACTAGATGGTAGTCAAATAAAGCTCAGCTGCTTTTGTGTGTCTTGAGTAAACCACAAGGCCTGTAGAAGCTGCAAATAAAATCTTTGGGCTCCAGCCCTTTGAATTCATGCAGAAGTAGGACACAAGCACCACACTTTCCTAGCCTAGCCACTTCTGCTGAGTTCCACATGATATAATGAAAAGAATTGAGGCCTTGGAATCCAAGAGATCTGGCTTTGAAAACTGGCTCTAAAAAATTAGTAGCTGTGTGAATTTGGCCTATCACTCAAATCTTATCTCTTCCCTGATATCTTAGGAGATTTTTAAAAAATTACTCTTACAACTTAAAGCCTTTCCCTCTTACCATACTCAGAGAAGAGAGAGAAAGGGGGCCCTGAGCGCTTTGTATTTGATTTTTCCCTGAGCAAACAATCTCATCACAACAACAGCAACCAAAACCATCTTTGTCCTGTTTGTTGATACCATGAAGCCTCCTCTGAACCCAGGCTGGGTTCTTCAGCTCTTCTCACACATGTGATCTGCTATTGTCCACCCTTGCTTCGCTGGGAGCTGCTTATGTTTCTCCATTTTGTCCTGCAATGTGTTCCTATATCAACCAGGCCAAAGACAACAAATCTCCTCCATGGGCACTTAGGAAACAAGCTCACAAAATAGCTTGTGCTGTGGGCTTCTTACGGAGATTCTGATTAAGCATCTCTTATTTTGCCACTCTGTCTTCTCCCCAAGGGCCTAGTCTAATTGCCACGGAGTTGGAGTCTGGCATGACCGTCCAGAGCAGGGAGTCGTTGGAGGGTCCATGGTGCTATGACTATACTTGAAAAAGCAAATCTATTTTCAGCTCAAATTCTAAGCCTAAATGACTTTTTAATTCCAAGAAAATGGAATTAAAGTGTCCGTATCATGGTGATGACAGGACTACAGGGCCACAGAAACAATAGTATCCCAGAAAGGGTAAGGTCATCAGGAAGACTATAGAGGTGGGACAGGTGTTGGGGGAGAACAGAATGAGATAACATCAGACGGCTCTTTCCATAACCAGTAGACTCACAGCCAGCCATCTGCAGGGCACTTCCCTGACTATCAGTTGGTCAATAAGCGCTCAAGGCTTAGACAGTTATTTTGAGCAAGTGACAGAACTAGAGATTATCTATGACTCTTAATAGTGATAAAGGTTTTGGAGTGTGACAAAAGCAATGAAGCACACGAAAGTATTCAGATGTAGAAAGAACCATTTCCTTAATCTCACCAAGACTATCACCTGTCCCGTGGCAGGAGGGAAGGAAATGAAGAATGAAAGAAAATAATGTATATTTATCTTAGTCCATTGCATATGTCCATGTATGTGTAATGTAAAAATGCTTTATGCTTATTTGATTTTATCTTGATCTGAAGCCCTTGTTC